AGATTGCAGCACACGTGCATGCGCGTGATTTCATGAATTTTTTCTATATCATTTTGTAGGATATCCTAATGCATGACTATATTTTAAATTTCAAAGAATTTTGTCAAAAAACAAAGGAGATATTGCCATTTAAAATTTCAGCCAATCAGCTTGCAACACGCGCACATGCGCATGCTTTCATGAAAATTCTTATATATCATGCGGTATATCTTCATTATGTAGGACTATGTTCAAAATTTCAAAGGATTATGACAAGAAACAAGAAAGTTATTGAGACTTTAGTTTCAGCCAATCAGAGCGAAGCGCACGTACATGCGCGTGAGATCTTGCTATTTTGACCATGCTGTCTTGTCTATACTACTAATGTATCCTTACATTATGAGTTTCAAAAAATTTCATCAAAAAATAGAAAAGTTACGGCAATATCCATTATATTGGTAATTTCACCTATTGCACGTGCGCGCTCTTGCAAGCACGTGCGCGCAAAATGACCTTTGTTTGGCAACTCTACATAACATGCCTACTAACCCTAAAAAGGTTTCACCTAAGTCGGATGTGTAGTTTACAAGATTACTCGTGGACAAAATTTTCCCAGGAAGAAGAAAAATAATAATAATAATAATAATAATAATAACTAGTGCTAATTGTAACGGGGACCGTTACAGATGTTCCCCAAACGCTCCCCACTTCCCTTTTGGTGCCATATTCCCTGGAGGCTTCATTAAATAGGACAAACTCTATGCATTTAAGACTTTAACAACGTTTACCCAGAAGGGTACAAAGTTCATTCAAATTTTAGCATTGCACGCGTGCGCATGTGAATGCACGTGCGTAATGACCATATCATCTTGTCTACACAATCTATATACTTTAATAAACTAAATATTAAAGTATTTAATCCAAAAGTATTAAAAAATACGCTCATTCAATTGTATTTTTGATTTTACTCATTTCACGTGCACGCACGTGCACACATGAGCATGGTGACCATACCTTCTTGTAGAAGTCCATTACATCTATCTATGTTCTAAATTCTAATCCGTTTGGTTGAAAACCAAGGGAGTTATAGCTGATTAATGTTTCAGCCAATCAAATTGCAGCGTACGTACACGCACATGTATTGATGTGCATCTTGATCATATCTTCTTGTAGAAGTCCATTATATCTATCTATATTCAAAATCTCATCCTGTTTGGTTGAAAACAAAGGGAGTTATAGCTGTTTAAAAGTTCAGCCAATCAGATTGCAGCGCACGTACACGCAGTGCATGGATGTGCATGGTGACCATATCTTCTTGTAGAAGTCTATTATATCTATCTATGTTCCAAATCCCATCCCGTTTGGTTGAAAAGCAAGGGAGTTATAGCTATTTAAAGTTTCAGCCAATCAGATTGCAGCACACGTGCATGCTCGTGTTTTCATGAAAATTGTTATATATCATGTTGTAGGATATCCTAGTGCATGGCTATGTTGAAAATTTCAAAGGATTTCCTCAAAAAAACAAGAAAGATATTGAGACTTTAGTTTCAGCCAATCAGAGCGAAGCGCACGTGCATGCGCGTGAGATCTTGCTATTTTGACCATGTCATCTTGTCTATGCTACTTCTATATCCTTATATTATGAGTTTCAAAGCATTTCATCAAAAAGGTGAAAAATTACGCCTATATCAATTAAATCGGTCATTTCACGTGTTGCTCGTGCGCGCTCTTGCAAGCACGTGCACACAAAATGGCATGTTGACCATGTCATCTTATCTACATTTATAATATGTCTATATATTCTAAATATCAAAGCATTACATCGAAAAATGTAAAAGTTATGACAATTTTAAGTATATTGGTCATTTCACGTGTTGCACGTGCGTGCTCTTGCAAGCACGTGCGCGCAAAATGACCTTCGTTCCGCAAATCTACATAACATGCCTACTTATCCTAAAAAGGTTTCCCCTTAATCGGATGTGTACTTCACAAGATCATTCGCGGACAAAATTTTCCCGAGAAGAAAAATAATAATAACTAGATGAGATCTCGTTGCGAGCAACGAGAGGTCTTCCGTCCGATTCTGAATTAAAAACACCAAAAATTGAGATGAAAAAGTGATAAAAAAAAAATTCGGATATTCGGGGGAGCGAACCCGGGTCGCTCGCGTGACAATCCAACGCGCTACGTATTCAGCCATTGAAAACACCGCTTCAAATATTTAAATGCAAATATCTCGAGATTGCCCTTTTCAATCCTTAAACAAATTACATATTTCTCATTCGCATAAGAGTCACTTTTAAGATAATTAAAATCGTAGAAAAACATTTGAAAACAAAAAAAAATTAAAAAATGCACTTTTTAAATTCGCTTCCGGTAGGGACCGGAAGCATCGACGACGCAGGAAATTGGGCTTACGCACATCTAATAACCATGCCCTATGCTCTTAGATAAGTCTCCAGTTCATATTCTCAGCCATTTTCGAAAAAAGTGCGCGACAAAATCGCATTTTAAAATCAGGAAACTGGCCATAACTTGGCACCAAAAGCGAATTATCAAATTTCCTCCCAGATGTATTAAGTTCATATTAATGCGCATAATTTCTGAAAATTTCATTGAAATCCATTGAATGGTTGCTGAGAAATCGCGTGCACAAAATTTTGGAAAAAAAATAAGAAAAATAATAAGAAACAGTACAATAACTATAAGGTCTTCCGTGAAGACGGAAGACCTTAATAAGAAACAGAGTAAAAACAATATGTTCCCCAACTTCGTTTGGGGAACATAATAATAAGAAACAGAGTAAAAACAATATGTTCCCCAACTTCGTTTGGGGAACATAATAATAATAATAATAATAAGAAACAGAGTAAAAACAATATGTTCCCCAACTTCGTTTGGGGAACATAATAATAAGAAACCGAGTAAAAACAATATGTTCCCAAACTCCGTTTGGGGAACATAATGAAAATTACGAACAGTGATTGATCTAAAATATTGTGAGGAGGACATAAAGCACGTACCTCTGATAATTCCAGAGGTGGGATCAGATGCCCAAGAGAAGTAAACATCCCTTGTTGATCGGTTACACCTGCCGTGAGCTATATGAATAGATCAGGCAGAGGGAACGTATAGTATAAAGAGATCGTTTCCTAAAAATTTAATAGTCCTTAAAATGAAATGAAATCATTAGGCCAAAAATAATTAATCAATAGTTTCTCAGGCACCGCCGCATCAGTTCAAAAACGGCCGCATTGATTAATTTTATTGACACATTGAAAAGGGAAATAACTTAATTTTCTATTTTTCCACGTTGAAAAAGAAAATCGGGTTATTCCCCTTTTCATAAATGCTAAGATAGACGTTTTTATTAGAAAAACAATACATTTCCTCTAAATTTTCAGTATTTTATGAATTAATTTTTAAATAAATGTTTGGAGTAACATTATTTAAAGTTGAATACATATTACAACCAATTTCAGAGAACAAAAATTAGGTATTGGTAGATATTATCATTTTATTGAACAAATGGTTTAAGGAGGCTCATTACACCACTTTTTGATGAGGTACTACACAAAAAAATAAACCTCCATTGTGTCGACCGGTTTCCTCTGGGGACGAGTTGTACAGGTACCTCTATAATATGACCCTGACCTTTAAAACGCTTTAAAAATAGATGAAACATGCGGTGTTATAAACAGTGAAAACAAAGTAACGGATTCATTATGCCTAAACCAAGAAGAATTGCTTTTAAGCAGAAACAAAAGAAAAACAACAGTCAAATCTTCGCCAAACAAGTAATGTCAATTTCATAGCGATGCATGCAGTGAGCTCTATCAATCAATGACATGTTTGTATAGAGGAAATTCGAGTTAAAATCCTCAACCTTGTTGAAATTAAGAAGTTATTTACTTGCACTATTTACTGTGTTGGTGTTAATTTATATATTTGCTTTATTGATTTAAATGTATAATCTGGCAATTTAAAGCTTTGCTCTGAATTTTAGATGTAATGTCAAACGTTCCTTAGCGTTTTGATTCTTGGGTAATTAGGAAAGATAACTCTTGAAAGTGGACTTTTTATACCAAATATTTTTTAAATTGGATTTTTCATTTCGTTTAAACATTCTTCATTCAATTTGACACATGTAATTCATTGAAATACATTCCTTGTCTCTTCAGAACTCATTTTATTAATGTTTTATGCATAGATTAAAAAGATAATGACATTAATTGTTTTTTATGAGAAAATTATTTTTTCTAATAAAATTATTATAAGGTATTATGAGGTATTTTCACTGTGTGTACTTGTCTTAAGAAGATGCCCATCATTTGACACTGAAAGTTCTGAAATTCTATTGATATTAAACTTGAAATGAAATATTTAACTAAAATTAGACAAAAACTAAAAAAATTCTTTAAAAAATATTTATGATATCAATACCCCATCTGGATATTTGACATCTACATTATAAGTGGTGCTGTATTGAAATCTAAAATAAATTTAACTGTGGATGTAATGAGCCACCTTAAAAAAGGTATTAAACCTGCTTCCAAAAAAAAAAAAAATAATAAAAATAAAAAAACTGCTTGTCGCATTGAATTCTGATTTTTTTGGTCTGAGAAACTATTAATCAATTTTTTTTTTGGCGTTAGGTAGTTTAATTTAAAAAAGCCTTTCTTCTTCCTAGAAACAAAAATCTTGCTTTTTCGAATTCCTTAAAATTGAAATCGTACCAAACACTACAGACACTTTATCTTTGAATTCCTTATGATTCTTGCATATTCAATGGTTTTGAATCTCCTAATTTTAATTCAAAATTAAAATTTAAGAATATTATTTGAATCTCAAGTTATAAAGCTATAATAGATATTGTACAGAATCTCTATAATTATAGTCGATGCTTAAGGTGATACATGTAGATGTTAAGATTTTACAATTAATTGAAACCCACAAAAGACATTGAACTTTCGCCTTTTACCATTTAAAATTGTTTAAAACTTTTTTTCATATTTTGCTAGCTCCCTTGTCTTCAGTTGACCTCTCTCTTGAAACTTTCTACGTCTCTGGGACCAATTTCACCGTCAACTGTACGGCTGACGTGGGCAATGTCATAGAAACGGAAGTGACTTTGGAGAAATGTCTAGAAGGCGGAAAATACACGCCAGTGAGAGAAGAAGCTAGAGATATTCTAACAACAGATGACGCTAAGGGAGTCAACTGCACAAACAAAATGACATATCGATACCACATACCCTTTATGGACAATGAAGATGGAATGTCCGTCAGATGTCATGGCAGGGATAATGTTTACAGCAAAAATGTGCCCACATCATGTGCATCTATAAATGTCACAAAGGGTACGTGCATTATGAATTTGCTGTCATTTGAAAATATGAAACTTTCTTAGATATTTGTTAATAACAAACCTCTTTTTGAGACATCCTTGACGATCATCATATTTACTAACATTTCTTGTTCTTACAGCCCATGCAACATTGGATCCAAAAGTTCTCTATGGAAAGTTCAACTCCACAGCCACATTTCAATGTAGAATTCCTCTACTCGAGTCTTATTTTTCTGAATTCCAGTTTTTCAACGATTCGTCGCATCCAATCCTGTCAATAAATTCTGACAATAACGTAACCCCTCCACTCCAAAATGATCGAGTTTCCGCAGTATATATTAGTAATCAGTATGATGAGTATAGAGCAGTGAATTTCACCTTTGATCTGAGATCTGGAGATGAAGTGTGTAGCTTTGCGGGAGTTTATCGCTGTAAAGTAAAAAGTTTTAACGAAAGTCTACTTTCTCTTGAAGATGATGAAAGTCAATTAATTATAGCAGGTAAACATAGCAATTAATTATAGCAGGTAAACATAGCAATTAATTATAGCAGGTAAACATATAGCAAACTCAAACACCGCCCGAAGATGGCAACGTTTACTTTATAGATAAATATTTCATAAGTTTGCCTTCAGTCTGTCCCAAAAGTTTCAATTTATGAAGAATAGCTTGTTTTACTGATCAGCTCAGGTGTATGGATAATCAATGATGCCATTAAAAGGTAAATTTAAAATTCCCAATTGCCAACTGGCAAAAGATATACCGATTCAAATTTAAAATTTTGTAAAGATAAATCACTTATTTGTACTGGAATAAAATTAAAATAAAATGAGTATTTGAGAATATGGATAATTGTTAAACTGCTTCTTATAAAATGCCTTGACTATTCATCTTTAAAATCAAACTAAATTTTTATAGATACGAAATTGAGAGATCCTGACAATTTCTTATACTATGTCGAACAATCCTGATGGCTTCGAATCAAATTCAACATGAAATTCTAAATGCATTGGGGCACCTTTCTTCTTCATTAACTGCAATAGTGAATTATTCTCAGTCTTAAAGCCTTCTCTTATTACATTTCAGCTCCCCCTTCAAATATAACCATCGAAATCAAGGACACTTATTCTAAAGGTGGTATTAACGAGACCATCAACTGCACTGCAACTTTAAATCCTAATACTACAACATTGACACTTGTGAGACTTTTTAATGAAACTTATACGATGGTTCCAAAAAATATTACAAAGACATCCATGGAGACTGCTAGGACTGACGATTGTCGTTATGATGTACAGGTGACAGTAACTACAACATTTGACCAATTTGATCGAGCTCTGGTAGCCTGCTTAGCTAAGGACGTCGTATTTGGCGATTATTTTTCTGTCAATAAAACTATAACTATTGTTTAGAAGGATGATATCTGTATCATCTTTGTGAGACTCACCTATATAAATACAACGGATAATTAGCCTGATTTTTTTTCGAAATAAAGACAGCTGTATGTATAATATGTAACATTATTGACAGACATCATTACAATTGTTAATTGACAATAAATGGACTCGTCGATATATCTAAATGTCGAGTTGAAGGCCACGTCAAGTGTTTTCTTCTTTTCACGCATAAGATTTTGTACAAATTCTGCTTCATATGAATACAGAAATAGGTCTGCTTATAACGGGGCACAATTGGTACCCATGGGAAGTCCAATGTATTGTTGGGAGACAAACAACGTTAACACTATCTAAAGTTTCGTTAGAGTCATTTATAAATATTTAGCAAAATCTATAGTCAA